CCTGATAAAGTGGCCGGTGAGTGTATATGTGTGCTGAGATACATTTTCATTAAGTCAAGATCACCTTTCTCACTGCGGTTCTTTAAAATGGTCGAGGGTCGTAATAGAAAAAGTATCTACGAAGTGTATGAGAAGAAGAGAAAGGCCTCTTTTTTTTGTCAGATTCTTAACACAACCTAAAATCTCTTGTCGGGCTTCACATTGCCCCGATAGCAAATTTTCTACTCGACAGGTAAACCTTGGCATGCTATTTGGGGAAATCCATTTCACATCACTGCTATTAAAAAGAAGAGGACTGGGCTCATGCATGCTCTTGCGCACGTTTAATAGGAGTTCCTTCCCTCTCTGGAGCGGAGACAGGATTGAACATATGCATTTCTTTTTGAAAGTGGAGAGGACGGGTCTTTTCAAAAACTCTGGAAAATCCTCCACTATACCTTTAAGAGACAAAAGAAATTAATCCTAAAAGTGAAACGAAAGCAGTTTTGCTAAACAAATCATTATTTTAATTCTACATTTTTTTTATTTTGATTGGTTGGTGGAATATTTAAATTTCCTCTTTGTTTTAAACAAACAGAATGGCTCGTTTCGCACCCCTTTATGATGACAGGGTTAAAACAGCGACATAACTGTTTACAAAAAATATATAAATAGGACTTCATCATATGAGTAAGTAACCTTGAAACCGTTAAAACTCATTAAAGATTCCTTCAAATAAGTGAATTTGCACGTAATCTGAGCAGGTAACAGGATGATGTCAGTGGAAACTGTCTACTTATCTCAAATCATGGAAAAATACATTTATTTCAGGAAAACTGACCTAAATATCTTTATTTTCTTTGCAGTGTTTGCTTTTCCTAAGGAAACCTCTCTCATTCATATTTAGTTACTTTAAGACAATTGTTTTATTTCCTACCTTGCTAACATGAAACAATCGTGTTAAAATAACAAAATATGATTCAGTGAATGCCAAAAACGGTTGCAATGTGTTTTTCAGTGTGTTAATTGTAGCATCATGTGTGTTGTTAGCTTGCACCAAACAGAGATTAGCTCCTGGTCTGAATAAGTCCCTCTTGTCTTAAAATCCTTTAAAAGCAAGAATGAAACAGGCTTATTTGGGTGTTTTGCTTGTCAAAAGGATACATGGAAGAACTCAGCTCCTCAAGCTGTGGAGAAAAAGAATAATTGTGATGTTAGATCAATGTTTTACTGAAGCAGGAGGTTAGCATTCGCTTATGAAGGGGTAACTTAATCAGTACACGAATGACAGAGGGCTAGACATGAATAGCAAAACACTGTTAAACATTTCTGCATTCTCAAAGATAGATTAGCTTGATACAATCCTACTCTACTGTAGCTGAGGTGTGCAAAAGCCCCGCAAAGGCATAAATGGACAGCAGACACAAAAAACATTTTGCAGTGCAAAATTGTGGCAGTGGCTGTTTTTTTTTTTTTTTTTTGGCGATTGCTCCCTTTTAGTTAACTTGTGTTTGTGCGCTTGTCTCATTTTTGTCTCTTCTGTATTTTTTCATATTTGCTGCAGTGGGCATCCGGACTGTTATGGGGGAAACGTGCCGGATCAGTCTAGAGAGGAGCTGATGAAGCCAGATTTCACCGGTGGGACTAAGGCTATGTTCACACTGCAGGCCTTGATGCTCAATTCCGATTTTTTTTGCAAAATCCGATTTTTTTTGCGTTGCCGTTCATATTTTCAAATATATGTGACTTGTATGTGATCTCCTGCGTGAACTGCATTCATTCAACGCAAGTGTTCCGTATGCGCAGTAGAGGACGCAATGACATCACAGGTCAGCGAGCACTGCGTTTCAGGAAGTAAACATGGATGGTAGTGCCGGCGCGCATCTAGCGGTCTTTTCCAACCATAAAAACTCAATCTTTTCAATATGGTTAAAACATAAATACTGCTCTCCGCATCATCATCTGCCATGGTTGTTGTTTTTCTTGCCAGAGGAAGACGCAGAATAGTGACATTTGTCGGGTATTCATGAG